AGTATACAAAAAATGTTTAGATTGGCATACATTCACTGCTAAAAGGGCCTGAATAAAAATTATCGGGTAAAAATAATTGCTGGTACAGTTTCCCCAGCTGCAAAATACTTAATTGCATTGTACTGTAATTGGTTCTTTTTGTCCAGGATTTTTTTCATAAAAAAATTTCTCTGATCGAGAAGTAAGTAAAACCCCCAGATTTAAAAACAGCAGTTTCAAATACCCATGTTTCATTTAACAGACAAAAAAAGATGTTAGTTAAATAAGAATTAATAATTATTTTACATTTAATTATCCCTTTGGATCCGAATTTACTTACGTGTTTATAACAATATTTCTATTTTAGATTTGATTTCTATTTATTGGAAATATTGGATTAAATGTAGACAGTGCTGTTTAATGAATAAAAATAGTTTGGACTTGTATTGCAATATTATTTTTAATCACGGCGTTTCGATTGATAAGTAGAATATACTAAAGAAGATATATTGATGTCTTCCTTTTGCGTGTTATGTTATGTTTTTGATTTTCATGTCAAGTGTCGGTCACACTTACTGGAACCATGCATATATTTATCAAACCTGGATGCTTCATACGCTTCCTAGCTACTTAACTTAATCAGAATTTACCTGAAGACGAATGGAGGTACTTAACAGTTGGAACGTCGCGATTATAAATATATACATAAAAATCTTTTATTTATGCTTCACATTAGAAAGAAAAATATGTAGAGATGAGTTAAATTGATATTTTTTTCAAAAATACAATATTGTTATTCTTTCGCGTGTAGTGTTGCTGGAAGCGCCCCACTAATTAAACCATCCTGAGGGGATTTAACAACTGAATGAAATCAATCGTTAATATATAAAATCTCACCATATTTCAAAATGACTTTTGGAATTTTTATTAAATTTTAACAAAGCATTGATTTTTAAAATTTATATTTTTGTTGGAACACCCAAATAGGTAATATTAGGTACCATAAACAAATATGTATCTTCTCAGTAAAAAATTGCTAATCAGTCGTAGTTAAATGTTGTCACAAAAAATAGCGAGCAAATCCGTTATCTATTTTACATGCCCATAGGTAGACCAGTTCGTAAAAAATAATGGACCTGCATTTATACGGCAAGCTAATATAAGATATTTTAAAGATTTGTATAATCCTCATTTGTTTTATTTCAATATCTTTTCCAAGTATTAAAAAAATGTTTAAATTACCATACATACACTGCTAAAAGGGCCTGAATAAAAATTTTCGTGTAAAAATAAGTGCTGGTACGGTTTCACCAGCTGCAAAATAATTGCATTGTACTATAATTGGTTCTTTTTTGTCTAGGATTAATTTCATAAAAAAATTTCTCTGATCGAGAATTAAGTAAAAACCCCAGATTTAAAAATAGCGGTATCAAATACCCATTTTTTATTTAATAGACAAAAAAATATCTTAATTAAATAAGAATTAATAACACTGTGATACAAAATTAAGGTTTGCGAAAGGGAATGGAATAAAACCAAAAGCAAATGAAAGTTAATACTTTCCACAAGAAAACCATATCAGGGTTTTTTTATATCACGTCTCAGTTTTTTTTTGTACGCATTTAAAGATGGTAAATTTTTTGACACCCTATAGGAAAAACATAAGTAAAACTATTTTAATTATTCAAAATAATTTTGTCAATTTGATCGAGGAATCCATTTGTGATGTTAATTTTTACCAAAGACCCTCAGAAGAGGACGCTATAAAAAAATTGTTACTATTTTTGAAGGTAAGAAATCCATTTTTGTCATCCGTTTGTTGTAAAATATACCCCAGGTGATATTCGAAAGCAATTTTTAATATTTTGGATTTATTAGTATAGAAAACTTGTTTTTTTTAAGAAAAAATAGCATTTTTACTTCTTAACTAAACATTATTAAATTCGCTATTTTATTTTTATTTAAAAACTATCACTGCTGTAACCGGCAGTAACACGAGTTTAAGTACCAGAAGTTCCAGCTGTTCATCCAAAAATTGATAAAAATGCAAAATATAATTAATATAATCAAAAATACCATGTTTTAGTATAAAAATATTGGAACACCAAATTTCTGCAAACTTTTCAACATATTCAATTATATGTATACCGTAATATTGTAGGTACAATTTTTTACATTTTTATATTTTGGAACTATAGACAATATAATATAAAACAAAACTTATAAGTTTTGTTTTATATTATATTGTCCTTTAAATAAAAAAAATAATTTAATTAAATATATTAATTAAGAAAAACGTTTTATGTTGCTGTCACTGATTTACTATATAGTAAATAATATTATGTGTTTTTAAGTAAACAAATCAATTTTACCTTTAAACAACCTCGTTTTTGCTACAAAAACTGCAATTTTTTGTAGTAATAATATTTTTTCAAAAGGGCGAATACGCCGAAATACTTATTTTTTGTTTTTATCAAAACAGGAAAATGGCATATTCGCCCTTTTGCAAAAATACCATCGATATATTACAATATATTACCACAAAAAAATGTAGTTTTTGTATACAAGTATTGTGTTTTGATTAAAGCATTAAAGAGAATATTTTTTTTTTATAAAAATGCCCAATTTTCTAGTAAAAATGCTCTTTACTTGGAATGGATTCCTCGACTATATTGCCAGAATAATTAAAATTGTTTTACTTATTTTTTTTCCTATTATAGGGTGTCCAAAAATCTACCAACTTTAAATGCGTATAATAAAAAACTGAGACGTGATCTAAAAAAAACCTCATAGGGTTTTTTTGTAGAAGCTATTACCTTTCATTTGCTTTTGGTTTCATCCCATTCCCTTTTGCACTGTGTAATTATTTTACATTTAATTATCCCTTTGGATCTGAATTTACTTACGTGTCTATAACAATATTTCTATTTATTGGAAATATTGTATTGAATGTAGACAGAGATGTTTAATAAATAAAAATAGTTTGGACTTGTATTGCAATGGTATTTTTAATCACGACGTTTCGGTAAGTAGAAGAAACTGAAGAAGATATATTGATGTCTACCTTTTGCGTGTTATGTTATGTTTTTTGATTTTCATATCAAGTGTCGGTCACACTTACTGGAACGGTGCATAGATTTATCAAACCTGGATGCTTCATACTCTTCCTAGCTACTTAACTTAATCAGTATTTACCCGAAGACGAATGGAGGTACTTAGCAGTTGAAACGTCGCGATTATAAATATGAGTATATAAGAGACGTATAACCGGATCCATTACCTCATCGCTCCCGGGCCCCGCATAGGCCTTTGTTTCCTTGCGCCGATTTTCTTTCGCCACCAGCAACGGCGCGGCTTCACCTGTATTTGCTGGTTGCGAATGTCCATTGCGTCCCGTACTGTCCCCTAATTAGGACTCGAGAGCGAAATTCCAATAGTTTTAGTAGCCATTCCCGGGTTCGCCGAGCCGATGCTATACGCCCAGAAGGGTCATGAAGGAGGTAGGACGGGAAGGATATACAGTTTGGTGTTTGGGGGACAATTACGCCGACTCAAATCTAAGTACGACGCGGTATCCCCCTAGACCGGGAAGTTAGTATTACTCCAAACATTTGGGATTACTGTTTGGAGTTGGGGAGATGTTAGTTCGCTGCAGGGGCCTAGTTTACTGGTCGTGGTCAACTTCTTGACCGTTATTGTCTCTGTCCGTGTCGTGTCGGGTTGTTCCTGCACTTGTTATTGTCTTGTCTCGGCTGTTTTCTTTCGCGTTGCAATCCTATCTTTGTATTAAACATTTGGTGTGCGTTTGGTGATTTGACAGTTACCGGTGGGAGGTATTTTTGACTTCCAGTGTATACTAATGTAATTACCAATTCCATTAGAATTCGGTTTGTTTGTTTATATTCTGTGTTTATGTTTTCTTAATTTAATGTTCGTTTGGATTTAAAGTGTTTATTTGGTATCGTTTCGTTTAACGTTTTTTGTTGGGCCATTTTCTTTAATTTATGGGTTTAGTCTTTGTCGTTTGTTCATTGATTGAAAAATTTATTGTACTAGTCAGCCTTTCTGTGACCAAGTTAAGGGGCGGTTTTGTTTTTTTGTTGTTGTTGTTTTGTTACTATTGTCTTAATGTTCCTAGTGCACTTTGTTTATTTTATTTTTTTGTTATATTTTTGGTTAGTTTTTCTTATGATTAAGCGAAAAGTGACTCATTTAGGGTTTTTCAAGGTACCTGTCATGGTGGCAAATAATATTAGGTCATGCAGATGTTTAAGGTTACTTATCGAGAATTGCAAATTGGCCTTTTCTCCCTTGGTTATCCTCTTTTGGTTGTCTCGTAAAAAGCATCCAAATGCGTGGCTAGACCGCGGTCGACCACCCGTAAGGTGTCACTCTACACCTCCACTTCAACACTTCCCTGACCTAAGGGCGGTCTACACAAACTAGTTGCCACACTACAGACTATTTGCACTTTATAAGCAATCATTACGAGCTTTGCTGTTTTGTCAGTTACAAGAGCGCGACAAGGCCAGATGCGACTGGACGTCGCGATTATAAATATATACATAAAAATCTTTAATTTATGCTTTACATTAGAAAGAAAAAGATGTAGATGTAAGTTAAATTGCTATTTTTTTCAAAAATACAATATTGTTATTCTTTCGCGTGTAGTGTTGCTGGAAGCGCCCCAATAATTAAACAATCCTGATGGGATTTAACTGAATGAAATCAATCCTTAATTTATAAAATATCACCATATTACAAAATGACTTTTGGAATTTTTATTAAATTTTAACAAACTATTGATTTTTAAAATTTATATTTTTGTTGGAACACCCAAATAGTTAATATTAGGTACCATAAACAAATATTTTGACATAAAGACATACTAATACAAATTTATAACATTAGTCCAGAAATAACGCTTATAATAAAACACTGTAATTTATAGCATCTATTTTGTATCGTTTCAGACAATTCGAGCAAAGAATAAATTGTTAAATATTTTTTGTTCGTTTCAGAATACGACTACGACAGCGAGTACACACTGCCTTCGAACGGGCCGCCTCCAATCCGCGAGCCCCCAGGCGCGTTCAGTACAGCCGCTCCTAGAGTCCAAAACTTTAACGCTGTTTTGCTCCTCTCTCTTACACTTTGCTTGTTTGAAAGTTGCCTAAGGTGATCCTTTTTCAAATCCAATTAGAACAAGGAAAACGAAGAGGCATCAAATAAAAAACGACGGAGGCGAAACGGTGATAAAAACATATCCTGAACGAGACTGACTGTACATATTGTAAATTTCATAGTGTTATTTATAAGATACTTAAAGATGATTATGTGAACATTACCGCGCCTGATGATTTTTGTAGAGTAGTTATTACCCCCTTAAAACGCTAAAAAATGCTCTAGTGTGACGATGAATCGGAATAAATGTAACCATAGTTTAGTAAAAATAATTAAAGTAACATACATTGTTAGAATAAAAAAATGCTTTTGTTTGGTTTGTAAAAAATTGTATTAAAAAGTAAAAAAAAAATATTTTGTTTTATTTATTTAACCCTTTTATATTTCAGTACAATTTAGGTAAGCATGCGTATAGACAGGAAGGAAGTAAGTAAAATTGAATTAATAATTATTGTATATATATATATATATATATATATATATATAACAGCAGCCCAGCAGATAAGACCTGAAGATGGTACATGAGATTGTACTGAAACGTCGTCAGACATACGGTTTTTTTAAGAACCAAAAACCGACAACACGGAGTAGATCTAGGAAAACCATTAATATATAAATTTTGCTGGATGTGGATATACCATTGGACACGTCCGTTAGATCACATGATCTGAATTTAACCAATCAAAACGATAGATGTTGATTATAGTTCGTCCACGGTGGACCTGTTTCTAGCCACTTTGTTGATTTTATTCATAAATAATTTATTGTATTTAACATTGTTATCTTGGTTGCCCCTTTTTATATTTATTAATTAATTATCAATTTTTTTAAATTTAATCGACTTTTGGATTTTTTTTTATAATTTTTTTACAATATAATATGCTTTTAGAAACTTTTAAAACTTTTAATTATTTACTTTATTTAAGAAAAACAAAGTAGGTAAATACTAAACTATTTTATTTTTTTACTATTCAATTCTAGTTACATATTTTAAGGTTATTAAATTATTTATTTATTTTATTTTTGGAAAACCTAAAATAAAAGTAAAATTAGTAATTTACAAATAAATAATTTTTATTAGTAATTACCATGTGCTTATTTTTTTATTTAAGTACATATATTTTGACAATTTAAATAAAATTTTTACTTATTTTTAACACTTCATTTTTTTTTAATATTTGGCGCCCTTTGTTTATAATTTCCTTATGCGCACCAAACATAAATAGTATTTTCGGATAGAAAATCAAGGGCATTAAGTGTTTATAAGTGTATAGTGTTGCAGGGGAATATTTCCTTTATCTTTTTCAATTCTGACAAAAAAAAATTCTTGCATATTTTTTTTACTTGCTTTTTTATTCGTACATCTGTTTGTTTTGTTCCTCCTTAAACAACTGAATGGCAAGAATATTCAAAAATCCGAGTGTAACGTTTAAAAAGAAGTTCTATAGAACGTGGCATAGCGATTCCACAAATCTGCTCCAGAATCTCACAATAACCCCACGTGCGAGTCAACAATACTGCTGGTGTTTGTACGCACTTATTTTTCAATAAAAAACAATTGGTGTACAAAATATTATTATTTTAAACGGCACAAATAAAAATCCACCAATCCTGCTATCCACCAACCCACTAAGTGTATGTAATCCTATGTACAGGGTGATCCCCTATAAGGTCGCCCCCAAAAAATTTAAAAGTGCGGTTGTGTAGGTAATACAAAATACTTTTTTTCTACGTATAAAGAAAATTGGAAAATTGATCAATATACTGGGAAAACAAAAAGTTTATTTTTTTTTAATGGATATATGGATGTATATATATATATATATATATATATATATATGTATTTATTTTTCGATTCCTTGTAAAATTCTAAGCATATTTCATATAACATACCATATACCTAAATTCAACTGTTTCTGAAATATTTAAATTATTTTTAAGATAATAAGTTGAAATAGTTTGTCTTTCTCTGTCTGAGTGCGCCATTTTTTCTTATTTATTAAGACATATTGACATAATGTCATTATAGTAATTTATTTTCAATATAAATTTTGGTATACTGAGGCATCTTGATTTTTATCAGTGTAAGAAAACATTTAATGATAATATTTCGAATGCGAATATTTCAGAAACGGATGAAGGGTATATGGTATATGTTATATGAATTATGCGCAGAATTTTACAAGGAATCGAAAAATAAATTCATATATAGGGTGATCTGTTGAAAAAAAAACCCTGTATATTGATCAATTTTCCATTTTTTTTATACGTAGAAAAAAAGTATTTTTTAGTACCTACATAACCACACTTTTAAATTTTTTGGGACATTTAAAATAAAAAAGTTAAAGGGGGCCGACAGGGTATCACCCTGTACATAGGGTATTGTCTTTTTTAGGTTACAATGTAAAACCATATCCCAGTAAAAAGCAGTACGTACGAACGTTAAAAATTGCTTCCATATAAAAATAATTTCGCACTCATATCCTATTATAAGTATAATACCTAATATTTAAATTTTAATGAAGAAAAATAAAAAAGTAAAATTTACACAAACCGGGGCAGGCGATTCCTCTTGCAATTTTGTTATATATAAAAGCATATTGGCGTCATGAATAAATTATTTGTAAATTCTTTGCTATAACATTTTCAACAGTTGGAACTCTTTATTATTATTTATATTTAAATATTATTATTATATTATATTATTTTTTTAAATTTGTTTTAAATTTCTTCTACAGTCCCAAAGCCATCTTAAATATAATAATAATAATATATATTTATTACCCAGTAAATTACATCAGTAAATACATTTAATAGAGAGGTAAAAGGATAATTGCTCAGATTTCCAAAGATTTGGAATCTGTTCTTCCGCATTAGTCTTGCAGGGGATTGCGGAAGAACCTCTCTATTAAATGTATTTACTTATGTAATTTATTGGGTAATAACTTATAACTTATAAGTAAGGTATATAATAAATAGTAAATAAAGAGTATAACTATAGTTATATATAAGTGATTGTAATAATTCAGCTAACTAAACGTAAAAAGCCAAAATATTAGGAGTCAAAAAGATAAAAAAAGCACACAAAAAGTTAAATCACCTGTTGCTGAAAAAGGGACCTTTTAAGATTACATTTGTAAGTCCTTACAGATAAGTCAAAATTTGAAAGATTTTGTTAACAAGTTTGCACATATTAAATGTAAATGGGCGTTTATAGATTTCATTTTTTATGTTTAGAATCATCTTAAATTTGTTTTCTTCTTATATTTAAATTGTGAAGGTCTGTTCTAAATCTTATTTTATCAAGCAAATATTTTGGACTTTTGTATTTTAAAATTTTATAATAAAAACAACAAATAACACTAGGCAACAAATTTTAACTTAAAAAAAAGGTCCTGGTTAAAAATAGAATTTTTCGATTGTTTATAACTGAAATAGATCCAAAATGTTTTTAAAAATTTTTTCTGAAGTCGTAAATAAAAAATAGGAGCACAGTATTTTGGTACCATTTATTGCATAGATACACCATTTGAAAATTTTAAGATGACGATACTTTTAACTTATATTTCAGCATTCCATGAACAACATATCTGTACATATTGTAATAATTTAAGGCATGTTTTTTGATGTTTTTTATCGTTCAAATTATTTTGTTTACTAATTTTTATCGTTATTATTTAACAATTTTTCTTTGTATCATGGTGCTGCCCGTATCGTCTAAACGAGACTTTGGAAAATTTTTTGGTCGCCGGGTTTGCGTCGAGCAGGTCAAAATCTATAGGAGTGTGCTATTTTTATTACCGACCTTTTTTATTTACTAATTTTTATCGTTATTATTTAACAATTTTTCTTTGTATCATGGTGCTGCCCGTATCGTCTAAACGAGACTTTGGAAAATTTTTTGTCGCCGGATTTGCGTCGAGCAGGTCAAAATCTATAGGAGTGTGCTATTTTTATTACCGACCTTTTTTATTTACTAATTTTTATCGTTATTATTTAACAATTTTTCTTTGTATCATGGTGCTGCCCGTATCGTCTAAACGAGACTTTGGAAAATTTTTTGGTCGCCGGATTTGCATCGAGCAGGTCAAAATCTATAGGAGTGTGCTATTTTTATTACCGACCTTTTTTATTTACTAATTTTTATCGTTATTATTTAACAATTTTTCTTTGTATCATGGTCCTGCCCTTATCGTCTAAACGAGACTTCAGAAAATTTTTTGGGCGCCGGATTTGCGTCGAGCAGGTGAAAATCTATAGGACTGAGCTATTTTTATTACCGACCTTTTTTTATTGTTTACTAGTGATACTGATTATAATCAGTATTCTCTTATTATTAATACACAACCAGCCTGATTACTACGATATATCGATATATTCTTCTTACACTAAATATCAATCTTAAACAAGAATTTTGAAGATGCTAAAGTCTTTTTTGGTCAATACCATTAAGATTATACCCATACAGCACCTCACAGTGATTGCTATGACTTAAAACCAAAGATTCAGATAAAGTTTGTTTGGTTTTTTGATTTAAATAGTGCCTGTGTGGATAGATCATTTTCAAACTACCATAACTTTTTTTAAGTAAAGAGTTTACATGAAGCTTAAATCTTAGTTTGCTCTCTAGTATAGGACCAAGATTGCATTTTCTACAAACTTCTATTTAACACACTCTCATTAAAAGAACAATATAGCTGTGTATCATCGGCGTATACATGATAATTACAAGTATTCAAAGAATATTACATATTTAAAGTATATATAGTATACATAATAGAGGTCCCAAAATGCTGCCTTAAGGCACTCCTGATAACACGGGAACAGAGTCTTATGTTTTATCATCAATCTATACCCTCTGTTTTCTATCACTTTGGTCCAAACCTATATAGTGAAGGACAGAGAGCAGAATCCGATGGCTGATCATGTCAAAGGCCTTGAAGTAGTTCAAAAAACAAGAATAATTACTTTACTTTCATCATATGCCTTTAGAATATCGTCAGTTATGCAGGAAAGTGGTGTTGCGCAACTAAAGCCATGGCGAAAGCCTTACTGGTTTTTTGGTATAATGGCATGAACATTATGTTACGGTTTAAATTAACATTAACTTAAATTTTACTTACCTCTGATTTTTTTTGTCTAAAGGATGGATTTATTATTTTTTTTTTGGTGATTAAAAAAAAGTATATATTTATAAACAAACTTTAAGTTATGTACATTATTTATTTCTTTATTTTAGAATTACATGGTTAGTATTTTATTTTGATTGATTTTCTGTTAAAGTCGTTGATAAACCTAAAAAATAAGTTTAAGAATTAGTTTACGCATAATTATATTAT